TCACCTCGCCTTCGGGGGAAGAGGGGATGCTATTCACTAGTGCGGGGTGGAAGGGGCACTGGGTCCCTCAGTGGTTTGGCAGATCCAAAAGTCCCAGCTTTCCTTCACAACTCAACTTGCCATCTTCCTAAGACCTAACCTCCCCTGACCTCACCTGGATGGAGGAGAAAGTGCTTCTAACCCAGACTCAAGATTCTCCTAGCTGGAGGGCATGATTCAGGCCTAACTCACCCCCCACCCTCGCTGGAAAACAGAACCTCTGACCCCAAACCTAATCCCCTGGCCCTGCCCCCTTCAGATCCATCAGCTCTGACAACTCCGAAAAGGCCTGAGGCTGGGGTGTCCCGGGGGAAGCTGAAGGTACCTCAGCCCAGGTCCCATCTAGACTCAAACTTTGCCCCTTCAAACCCCAGGGGACTCCTGCAGCTAGACCAAGAGACCTCTCATTTACCACCTCGGCAAAGAGCAGCTTGTTTTGTTTCCACTCTTTAAGGGGGCCGAGTTTAGGTATCCAAAGAAAGGAGTTGGGCCTGCCCTCCAACTCCACCCCCTCTCATCCATAAATCAGTGGAGTCCCTCGAAAGGCAACTTGTTTGGTCTGATTTTGATTTCTTCCACCTTCTATTACTTTCCCTGGGACAGTGTCTAGCCCCTTCCCCAGGCGAAGTAAGCACTTTCCAGGAGAGGAGGTCCCTCAGCCCTACTCACCCTAAGGGGAGTAAGTTGGGGGAAGGGGCTGATTAATCAAGGTTGGGGGGAATCTCTCTCACAGGCCAGATCTTATACTTGGTAACCAAATAAGGAAAAAAAGGGAACGCCAAAACTGGACAAAGGGGAAATGTCCGTGGCTGAGACTGAAGATCTCATCAATTAGGGGCCACCTGCAATTGAGGGGCCCTAGAAAGGCGACAGGAAGGAGGTGATCTACCTCTTACCCAAGCTCCCTCACCCATTAAAGGCTCCAGCGGTGCTTGCAGCTTTAGAGAAGGCCTGAAGGGAGCAAAGGGTTAAAGGCCTGGACAGTGGGAGTGGGGGATGCCCCCAGGGAGCTGCCAATCACCTCCCCACCCCCACCACAGCCCCCGCACACCAGGCTCGCCCACAGACACTGTAACAACCGGTTTGTCCATCACCGAGGTCTGTCTCCTCTCCCTTTTTGTTGCGGGGGTGGTGTCTTTGAGCACTGGCCTCTTTTGCTCCCACTGGGGTGCAGGCCCTGCCCCCAATGGTTCGAGATGGAAGCGGGCAGGGATTAGAATCTGTAACGTCAGACTTTTTTGCTTAAGCCTTCTTCTCCCGACTCCAGCCCTGGGTTCCTCAGCAAAGGATGCGGGGGAGGGACTGTCACCCCCACCACTTAGGTGCTTGAATGAAGATCACTGTCATTTGAAGTCCCTCTGCCCACAGCTCCTAAAGTGTAAATGAAGGGGACAAATGTGAGAAACGGGCTCCCTCCTCAAGCCAGCGGTTTGGCCACAGTCCCAACTTTTCCCCTTTGGTAGAAGTTCCACGGTCAGTTTTCATCCACATTGATCCACCAGAATTTGAGGCCGGGGGCTCAGGGACAGTGGGGCCCCCATATGCCACCTCCACAGTGGTGGGCGGGTGGGGGCTGAGAGTCTCCCTCGAGGCGAAGCGAGGATGCCGGCTTTAGGTCTCCATCTTCCCTCACCACCAGGGCCGGGGAGGCAGGGGAAGCAGTCGAGGAGGCTGAAGTTGCTCCTGGTAGGGAGCGTCGGTGCAGGGCGGTGGGGCTGCGCGGTGCGCGGAGGGGGCGCTGGCCGCCGGCATTTCTTGGCTGCTCCCCGGGCCGCTCCTTTTGCAGGCGGCCGCCCTGGCCCCGGGCGCAAACTCGGAGTGTCCAAGGCAAAGCCCTTTGCATAACACGAAAGTTTCGTCCGGCGGATCAGACGATCGAAATGTTCCTGGCGGAGATGTGCAGCCCTGCTGGCCATCGAGGGGCCGGCGGCTGGAGCCTCGGGGGAAGCCGGCGGGGGGTTTCCATGGACTTCTGCGGGCTGGCAGGGCAGGAACGGCCCCGGCGCCGCCCCGGCACCCGTATGCTTGGTGGAGAGGCCCGCAGGTGGCGACGGAGGCAGGGAACTGGGCTCCCGAGGCGGGCTGGCGGCTGGGCCAAGCTGAGGCTCCAGACCTGGGGCCGGATGAGGTGGGGCCGCGGCAAAGCCGGTCGGAGACTCCCGAGGGCGCGGGAGCGCCAGGCAGCTGCCGGGAAGTGCACAGGAGCGAACGCCGAAGTGCGGGAAACCGCCTCCGCCCTCTTCCTCCTCTTCACGGCGGGGACACGCTGTGATGTCCGCATCCTCGCCAGCCGCAGTGTTATGATCGCCGGGCCGCCTGGTCGGGGCCCCGAGGTGCTTCAGGCCATCTGGGGCCCATCCGCCGGAGCACAGGGGGGCGTGAGGGCCCCGCAGCACCGCGGGCCGCCACGCTAGTTCCCCAGGCCCTGGTCCCAGAGAGGACACCCAGGGCTTGGCAAGGGTGCAGAAGGCGAGGGCACACAGCGGAGATAATTCCTGGGTTCCCCGAAATTCCGGGGCATGGGGGAGCAGGGTGACCCTCGTGAGGATGCTGGCACTGCCAGGCGGGACGCAGGGCACCGGGTCTCCATGGAGCAGCCTGAGGGGTGCCCACTGAGGGGGCCTGGGTCCCAGCCGTGGGATGCCCTGGCTGCCCGAAGAGCCCATGGGCGAAGGGAACATGGCACCCGTCGATGGGGAGCTCTCTCTCTGTTCACTGGCGCCCCCGGCTCACCACCCGGGACTGCAGAGCTCAGGCTCCCTCTTCGTTCTCGTCACGCGGCCCTCCCAGCGGCCGGACTCCTGGGTCCCTGCGAGTCCTGGCGCTGTCGGCCACCCTTCTGCCGCGGCGTCCCCTTCTCAGCCCCGGGGGGAGCCCGTCTCCAGTCGCCCGAAGCGCAAAGGTGGGGGAAACAAAGCAGGAGGCAGGAGGGACCCTAGGCCCGGCACCTGGTGCCGGGGCCCAGGCGGTGGGGAGGGCGCCTTCTGCCCGCTCGGCTTCTTTCTTCCCAGACACATTTTTAATCAAATAAATGAATAGAGTAAGCAAAGCTGCAGGAGAAATACATAAATGAGTGAAAAAGTTATTATCTATGACGTAAATTTTATAAATTTATATCCAATATTTGATATTTATTGACCACTTACTACAGAAAATATTTCATTAATTCATTTGGAGTTATAACCTGAAAAATAATAAAACAATTTATTTTAAAATATATATCAGACTTTTTACTGATTCAAGAAGTCCTTCTTTCTATCAATCCAAATCACTTGTGTATACACCTAAAATCACATAAGTTCTCTGTTTCTCACAACTGTAGAAATCCCTGTTTAAAAGTATGGTCTGTGCCATGTCAGATATGTTCTGTATGTAAAAGCATGATTAATTTCTAAGATTTAGGAAAATGACACATTATGTAACTTGTCTCTATGCAAAGTGATTTCCAGACATCATATCTGAGGCTCAAACCTTAAATCTAAAGAAAAGTAGCCAAGTTTTGCTTTGCTGAGTAAATTAAAACCCACATCCCACTTTTTAACACATGCCTTACCTTTTCCAGGGAAAAATTCCCATCTTCTAAACCTCAGTGTCTGGCCCCTGGGACAGTTGTGTGGTTAGAATAAAGATTCAAAATGAATCACGGGTAAAAAGAAGCATGTGATTTATCCAGAGCTGGAATATGCTAATAACAATGTTAATTAATGTAATCTGGCATCTTAGTCACAGAATTTTAGGGATAAGATGAAAGAAGTAGACCTAAAATATCTAGAATAGTCACCTGCCATATTGTGGTATCTAATTTTGGAGAAACATATATCAAGGTAAATGTCCAATCGTTACGTTCTCAATCTGACGCTCAGATGCCAAACCATTTCTCAGACCACTCTCATGGAGTAGGTTTTCTCCAGGGAGCACACTGTTCAGTCCATATTTGAACCCTTGGATGACAAACATCATTGGTTAAACCCAGGTGCTTGTACAGGAGTAAATCCAATCTTTTAAATGGACACAGAAGAAACTTTATCTTTGAGGATCATTGAGTATCTATGAATACTTGAGGCTGGGTCATATTAGACTAGAGAAAGATCATGGAAACTGTTGGCCTCCTTTACCACTGTGGATGTATTGGGGTGAGGGAGGGATCTAGTCTCTAGGGATGAAGCTCTGTTAAATTTATTTTGATCTGGGAATATTCCATTCCAATTCTGCACAATTGAGCAGTAACAGTGAAAACACTCCAACTTTCAAGTTACAGCTCCAAACTGAAGAGAATCCAGTACCTTTTTGTAATCATAGGAACCCTAAATTATTTATGCAAATTGTAGAAAGTTGTGTCTTCAATAATAAAATGATCATTTATGTTTGACTTCACAGCATGTTCTGTATTGGGGGTTTTTCTTTTGTTTTTGGCAACATCAACAGACTTATTTTCCTAATTATGTTTGACCCCAATTAATGTAACAATTAACATTCTCTGAGGATACCCACATATACACACACTACTCACCAACCGATGGTGGAGAGAATGCCCAGAAACATATTGTGAGATAGGAAAGGGTGGTCTGAGATTATACTTTTGCTGCCAGCAATTCATACACTAGATAATCTGGATCAAGAAGAGGTTGGCTGTATTTATACCAGGCATTTCCTGGAGCCAAATAATCACATTGGCTAATTCCCATCCATAAAATATATGTATCGTCAGTAATTATGTATTAAACTAAGCCTATCAGCGCACAGAATACTTTCTTAAAGCAGTTTTATCTGGTTCGACTGTGTATATCAATCCAATTAAGATAACTGCCAGATTTTTCTAGTACTGGCTGCTACATAGGCCTGCCTGAGTCCTCTCTCAGGCTTGGAGATATTTGGGAATGTAACCTTAGCTCTTAGTCCTGCCACTTTGGGAAATTAAGCCCAGCTTCCCTTGATTTCTGGAAAACACTTTCTAGACTGTTTCCTCTCCCTTGATAACCCAGGTCGCCTGGCATTTTGAATAGCAACTCCCCTCCCCATCCACCCACTGTATGTGATCCTCGAGGTTGCTCACCTATCTTCTCTTTGGCTTGGCTGCTCTCCCCAGTCTCCGTTGGAGGCTGGGCTGTTGCCTTGGCAGCAGCATCCTCTGCAGCAGGGGTGGTGGCAGCAGCAGCAGTGACAGCAGCAGGCACATCGGCTTGTTTAGGCTCCTCCTTGGCTGGGGCATCTTCGGCCTTGGAAGACGGCAAGTTATCAGTGGAAGCTTTAGTGGCATTTTCTGTCTCAGCTGAGCTGGCCTTCTCCTCTGAGGATTCAGGAGCCTGGGGGGTTGCCTGCTCTGTGGCAGCATCACCCTCCCCCTTCTCCTCCTCAGAAGGAGTTTCTCCTGCTTTGCCGGTCTCATCAGGCTTGGAGCCGGTGCCTGGGGCTGCTTCGGTAGTAGTGGGGCCTTCTCCTTTCTTCTCCACCCCATCGGCAACAGGGGCTTCATCCTTCTTCTTACTTGCATCAGCCTCAGCAGCTTGGGCATCATCCTTCTTCTCTCCTTTGAGCTTTTTCCTTGTTATGTGTCCACGGAAGCTAGCCTGAATTTTGGTCGCAGCCTTATGAGCTTTATCTTCTGGTTTGTTACCATCTTGTTCAATCTTTTGGTCTTCATTTTTTTTCAACCTTTATGGAGAAAAGAGGGGAAAAAAGGAGAGGGCTCTAATAGTGTTCTTCTCCTTTAAATCTCAGCATTCAACAATAGTTACTGAGTGATTAATTTTGTGCCAGACATTGTTTTGGTAGTTAAGAATTCAAGCCTCCTCTTTCTCCCATAGTATGTGAAAAGTACTGTCCTTTGGAATCTTCCAGAATCACTGGCTTTTTTTTTTCTGGAGGCAGAGTCTCAATCTGTCACCCAGGATAGAGTGCAATGGCATGATGTTGGCTCACAGCAATCTCTGCCTCCCAGGTTCGAGCAATTCTCCTGCCTCAACCTTCCCAGTAGCTGGGATTACAGGCACATACCACCATACTCAGCTAATTTTTATATTTTCAGTAGAGATGGTGTTTCACCATGTTGGCCAGCCTGGTCTCAAACTCCTGACCTCAGGTGGTCCACCCACCTCTGCCTCCCAAAGTGTTGGAATTACAGGCTTGAACCACCTCGCCTGGCCACTGGCGTGATTTTATATGTATTTCCTTTCCCTAGCTCAGTGTTGCTCCAAGTCACACTTAAACCAACAATTTTTTAAGACATACTTTGGCAGCTCAAATCACATTCACAGGCTGGGTGCAGTGGCTCACACCTGTAATCCAAGCACCTTGGGAAGTGAAGGGAAATGGATCACTTGAGACCAGGAGTTTGAGACCATCCCTGGTAACATAGTGAGACCCCATCTCTACAAAATATTTTAAAATTAGCCAGGTTCAGTGGCATGCAACTGTGGTCCTGGCTACTTAGGAGGCTGAAGCAGGAGGATCATTTGAGCCTGGGAGGTCAAGGCTGCAGTGAGCTGCTGTTGTGTCGCTGCACTTCAGCCTTGGTAATGGAGTGAGACCCTGTCTCAGAAAAGCAAACAAGCCAGAAACAAAAAAAAAAGCAATTCACATTCACCCCAGGTTTTTATTAAAGAACTCTGAAAGATATAGGGATTTCAGGGTTTTTGAGGAGGATTTTGTGTAAAATTTTATGGTTCTAAAAAGATATTATGCAAAAGCCTAGTTTTCCCCAAGCTTTAAGCCTGATAAGGAAATTAATAAATGTATGACAAAGAGTATAGTAAAAGTTTAAATCATAAATAGGTAAAGGAGGGGAAGGCAGCAAATCACACTGCCACATGTGTACCTATGCAACAATATTGCATGTTCTTCAAATGTACCCCAAAACCTAAAATGCAATTAAAAAAAAGAGAAAAAAAAGTCCTATCAGAATTTTATGCAAAATGTAAAGGAGTTCCAAGTCTTTAAGGGATTTGTTTAGAATGTGACAACTTACAATGCTGGTCACAAAATAATGTCTAACTTTCTCCTGCACGTGATCCAACATTAGTAATAAACATACCAGGTGTTCAAAATTAGAATAAAAAAAGACCATTATTCCTTAATTTTAAAAAATGATGGAAACCCTGTTTCTCTTTTTGAAAAAGCGACACATATTCACTAAGTCACAATTCCTTATTTCCAAAAGCAATTGGGAACCAAAAATGTGTTTACATTATCATCAATAGAGCCATCTTAGTACTAAAGACAAGAGACTAGCATAGAGATTTATACGTTTTGATGGCAACATTTGTAGCGTAATATACACTGCAAATGACTATTTCCCACATGAAAATTAAATCAGAGGATAGGAACAGCAGGCATAGTTATAGAAAGAATTGTGTAGGCAAGTACACAAAATTCTATCCAGTTCCATTATTAACCATGGTGCCCCAACATGGCTACTGATAGTCTCCATTTTTAAATCTCTTTAACTTTTGAGCATTGAACTTTTGTTGACTTTTGTGAACACTGTTCTAGGGAAAATAACAGCAGTGAACAACACAGCACCTTTCTCTCAAAAAGCCACTAATAAAAGAGTATCATGTAACATGTTCTATGCCTGGTCTCATTCTGGACTTTTGCTCCAGTTTAGAAGGTAAGCTAATACAGGACAACTCAAGACAAGTTTTCCACCTGTCAAACCAGCTTCTGCTAATCATGATGTGGGACTGTTAGACATTCTTTGGACAAGCATACAGACCTCTTGCTGCATAGGACCATCAACATATCAGTGATACACGAAAGTACTTTTGAAAATGAGCTACATGTAAGAGTAAAAGCAGGTTTGATAATTTTCTCAGTAAAATTCAAGTCAGTTTTTTCCTTCTTCCTTAGTTAACCATGTATGCATACACGCAAAGATTAAAGGAGTATCTAAAAAGCACTTGGGAGATGCCCATCCTGTTTCCTCCTCCACTGCTCAGTTCTCTGATGCACTACCACCTTCTCCCTATCCTGCTGCTCTTGCTGACTCCTACTCAGAGGAGCATAGCCCAGTCTGAGACATGGGAGCAGCTGTCCCTGCCAGGAGCTCTTTCCTCAGGAATGGAAGCATAACCCTGTAAAATTAACAGTTGTGAATGGAGCATGGAGCCAAGATGTTGGTAATTTATTTTACTCTACCTTGAGGAGTCTGAATGAAGCACCATCTTATATTTTAGGACACCTGCTCTTGGGTATTGATGCCAACTGGTTCTTTAAAACAAATACTGCTCTTTGTGAAACTAGACAAATCAATTGTTTCAGATGGGAAAGGTGTGCACAAAAGACTCTCTAGTGACTCAAGAAAGCTAAAATTTTAGAGCTCTGTCTTGTCTTCATGAACACAATGCATAGGGGGATGAAACTCTTGAAAAGCTGAAAATCACAAAAAGAAAGAAGCTGAAAGTCTACATGTATAAAGAAATAAACTACATGGGTAAAGAAAGGGCTATCGATTTTCTCTCTCCCTCCTCTTTCTCTCTCTCTCTCTCTCTCTAATTTCTTAGAGCATCTGCAACTTTGATTTTCTAAATGATCAGAATTTAAACTTCTGAACATAGTATCTATGTTAAAATGACTTTTTAGAAAGGCTGAGACTAGACTAGGGTGCCAAGATTATGAGACAAATCTCATCTGAACCCAGACGTATAAGAAATTCAAGGGAAGCAGGAGTAAGCAGAAAGGGGGAGAACCATGAAAAACAAGAGTTAGGAGAAAGAAGCCAGGTCTACAAGAGCCAGGTACCCAAATAAGTGACTACACCCAAAGAGATGCTCAAAGTACTCCACAGGCATGTAGCTCATCCTGGAGACACTGCTGGACTTCATCATTAGAGATGTAAGAAAACTAAATTTTAGAGATTAGTTGGAAAAAAAGAAGTCAAATCAAGCTTTTCCAGATAGTGGTAAGAGATAGCACACAGGGAAAGAAAAGGAGAAGAAAGGAAAAGGGAGGGGAGGGGAGATGAGGATATGAAAGAGGGGAGGGGAGGAAAGAAACAAGGCTAAGAAGAAGTCAGATTTCAGTGATTGAATAGAGACACCCAGAAATAAAATTATTTCAAGTTAAAACTGGGTTTGAAGCTAGATAGCGCTGTTTGTGTGTCTTTCTTTTGTACTTCCAAGTGAATTTATTAATATTCCTTAAATTACAGATTATTTCCTGGTAAATTTTTTTTCACAATACAGTACTAAAGGTAAGTGGACTGGGAGTATGTTTCGTTAAGAAAAGGAGAAAGATAACATTTCCCAAAACTGGCTATGTGGAGTAGCCCCAGGTTCTGAGAACATTTTGACCCTTTCCCCATTAGAAATAGAAGAGCTTACTTAAGATGAAGGACATTCAAGCCCAGAAACCAAAGACCACTCAGTACATTCACAACAATACTTTCACTTTCTAAAAGGGACAGCTCTGGCCCTGAAAAGTCAAGTGACTTGCCTAAATTCATAGAGCAAGTGAGGGAGGCAGCAGCCCAGCTTGTATTTGACCTCAATTCTTCTCCCTTCCCACCTACATCCAAGCCCAATATTATTGCATTGCTGACCTGGAATAGGTTGGACTTACTTGTAGTAGATAGTCCGTAAGGCCTCACATCAGCATTCTTGTTCATTTATTCATTTAAAAATACTCAGTGCCTAAGATAAGCACTATATAAATGCTATTGAATGGAAGGATACTGAGTCTATCCACATAGAATCCTTTTGAAAATACACTTAAATCACATCATAGTAATTTAACAATCAGTAACTTCCCAGGAATTTGCAGTAGACATCTGATCTTACACTCATCTTTCCAAGTAAGGCTCACATTCTAAAACTGTGAGTTACAGATGGAATGTCCAGAAAGGGAAACCTGGCATCTAATGGCTAAGAAGTCAGCACATAAATGTCGCTAAAGATAGATTTTTTTTTAAAACTAAGTATTCCCACAAATAATCTTTGTAATGAAATCTAATGTTTCTGAGGGAATTTCAAAATTATTTCATTTTTATATAGAATTGTTGATATCTGTGAATAAAGTAAAGAGGACATTCTAATGCAGTACATTGTAGGTAGGAAGGGCAATATTACAAGTTATCATAAGGCTTTCAGGAATATTTATTACTGTGGCTTAATATGTTCTACTGATTGAGAGGTCTGCAATTTATGAAGTCTTTAAGGAAACCAAATTATAGTACATCCCTGCTATTTAAACAAACATTCAAATCTCAGATGAGTATTGGTTGGAAAATGAAGAGTACCAACATTAACTTGTTGACACTAAAAAAAACTCTAGATTCATTAGATGAATGAAAAATAATTTTTTTCCCATTTATTTATTTTATTGCATTTTAGGTTTGGGGGTACATGTGAAGAACATGCAAGATTTTTGCATAGGTACACACTTGGCAGTGTGATTTTCTGCCTTCCTCCTCATCACCTACATCTGGAATCTCTCCCCTTGCTATCTCTCCCCAACTCCCCACCCCCCACCATCCCTCCCCTATTTCCCCCCAACAGACCCCAGTGTGTAGTGCTCCCCTCCCTGTGTCCATGTGTTCTCATTGTTCAACACCTGCCTATGAGTGAGAACATGCAGTGTTTGGTCTTCTGCTCTTCTGTCAGTTTGCTGAGAATGATGGTTTCCAGGTTCATCCATGTCCCTACAAAGGACACAAACTCAT